AGAGGATTCTCATGTGATGTGTGAAAAGTGGCCAGCAGCCATATCACCCTGTAGCCCAAGACTGGTTGCCCACTGAAGCTAAGCAGGGCTGAGCCTGGTTAGTACCTGGATGGGAGACCTTCTGAGAAAACCAGGTTGCTGCTGGAAGAGGTGTTAGTGAGGCCAGCAGGGGGTGCTCACCCTGTGGTCTGTGTGGGTCCTAACGCACCAGTGTAGTGACGGGGACACTATACTGTCAAAGAGCACCGTCCTTCGGATGAGACGTTAAACCGAGGTCCTGACTCTCTGTGGTCATTAAAAATCCCAGATGTCTTTCGAAAGAGTAGGGGTGTAACCCCGGCATCCTGGCCAAATTTGCCCAGTGGCCTCTGTCCATCATGGCCTCCTAATCATCCCCATATATATATATACACTGATTGGCTTCATCACTCTGTCTCCTCTCCACCAGTAAGCTGGTGTGTGGTGAGTGTTCTGGCGCAATATGGCTGCCGTCGCATCATCCAAGTGGATGCTGCACATTGGTGGTGGTTTGAGGAGATTCCCCCTTCCATGTGAAGCGCTTTGAGTGCCTAGAAAAGCGCTATATAAATGTAATGAATTATTATTATTATTATTATTAAAAGTGATCCGTGCACATTGAAGGGAATGAAATTCCAGTAAACAGTTACTGTTCAGTGATCTAATTGGTTTATCTGTTAATTCATTTCATTATCATTTATTAATTCATTCTATTTCATATTTAATTTTATTAATTGGTTTACTTAATATTATTTTCATTTATTTATTTGTCCAGTTAGTACTACAGACATTAACTTAAACAAGTGCAGACACACATTTAAAATGATTAATCATATGTTCTTTTCTTTTGATTAAAGCAAGGTGTGAGACCCCGAACCCGGGACTCCAGATACTTCTATAGGTTGAGATTTATAGGTATTTGGTGAGCTCAGACCCAGTAGATATTTTTCCTCCTTTTCTTTATTTTTATTTTTTTTCGGGGTGTTAGATCCTACTAATGGGTTACAGAATGACATCAGTCATCTGGGCCATGAGTGAGATCAGACCTGTGAATGTCAACAGATAGTAATTACAGTATTATGGTAATAAAGTATGAATTGGTCTGCACAGATACTGTCACGTTCACCATCTATCTCTGCACTACATTCCCCAGAATCCTCTTTGGCGCACCTGCAGTTAATCTCCCCTGAGTATTATCACCTGCACCTATTCACAATCAGAAGCCTCATGAGCAAGCTCTATAAAAATACTCACCACAGCCTCAGTTCAATGTCAAGCCTCCAACAGTAACATACCTTTATCCATTGTCTCCTGAAGTCGCTGATGCATCGACGATTCTGCAAAGTAACATATACTCACTTGTGAAACATAGTGATGGGCAGATCGAGGCTTCGTGAAGCAATGAAACAGTTGGGCCAAATGGGCCATATTGTTTCGAGGCTTCGAATCAATCCGACACCCGTCTCAACGGTGACACCTAGTGGTCACTTGCAGGTAACCTTGACGAGCCATTAAAAAATTTGTTTTTTATTATTGTATTTTTCTAATATGTGAAGCTTGTAACCTATAGGCTCCTCACTGTGCATAATTTTATTTTGGTCCTGCAAAATTAATATTAATAAAAGAAATCAAGCCACAATCTCTCACCTTTTTAGAGATTTTTATTCAAAAATATTAATTTCTCTGCTGTGGAAAGACTTAACCTACTTCTTTTTTTTACAGATAATTTCTCCAGCCTTTGAAAAAATCCTCACAAGGGACATTTGTTGCTGCTGGCATGCAAAGATATTTTTTAGCTAGGACATACAAATGAGGAAAGATTACAGCTCTCTCTTTACAGTAAGTTAGTGAATCATGAGTTCTGGGCAAATCTAGCCTATCAGTCAATGTGTTGTGTAAATTTAAACGTAAGCCTAAAATAGCCTATAACTAATCAAATCGCACTGTCACTATATCACCAAAATCCGCTATCTCAAAATCAAACTCGATCCTCTCACAAAAACCCACGAGGTCAATATGCGTTGATTTCACTTTTATACAGATGTGCGATTGTGTGGTCTGTTCCCGACCGTGTCAATCAAACGCTGATTCGGCAGATCACACCTGATGAAACACTTAGTGAAACATTTCGAGGCTTCGTTTGGCCATAGTCACGTGACATGGGTGTTTTGAATCACGCTTCGGATCAGTGTTTCGAAACATCTGCGCTTCGGGATCTCGCAAAGCTTCGGAACGACTGTTTCGTGTCAGCCATCCCTAGTGAAACACTAACCTCTGTATCATTGTTCTGCTGTCTCCAGAAATCCTGTTTGACTCCATGTTACCAGTGATCCTGTATTCTCCTGAGCTTCCTGTGTTCACTCCGAGCTTGCTTGCTTGCTAGCGACTGCATCTGAAAGAGAAAAGACAAGTATTAATGAACTGTAACTGCTTGACATCAACTAACCTGAAGATAACATGCTCACCTATTGTCTGCCCCGCACTGAGTGATCTTCACCGTATCTGCACCTGAACTCTGAATACTCACCTTGCACTTTTGTCACATTGAATAAAGCTGTGTTTGGATTCCCTTACTTCTGTCTCCGTGCCTGTATCCTGACAGATACAGACTGTGGTTAGAGCAGCTCTTTGGTTATATTGTCTGCCATATCAGGTGATGTTGCACAAACAGATAATGGTTTAACTCTCCCAGGACAGCAGGGAGCTCAACACTGCAGTGTCTTTAAAAAAAAAAGAAGGTGAGGTCAAATTTATAAGGTGAGGCCTTCCCAGCAACCTTACCATGCATTTCATAAAACCAGCCCATTAAACTGGATGGACAGCATTACTGAACGACGGTTTAGATTTTGTTACACTTTGTTTTAGTTTTTTTTTTTTTTGTACTATCACTGAACTTTTAAGTATTGTTGACAAAGTGTGTCAAGTGAATGTTGCATGTTGTCCATTCTACTGTTTGATGAATAGGCTTACAGTGAATTCAGGCATAGGCTCTTTTTTAACATGTTCTTTGCCTTGATCAAAACATGAGTTGCAGGAATAAATTATTTAGTCTTGTTGTTTAGACATTTGTCACAAGGTGACAAATCTAGCGGAACCAATTTCCGCTAGGAGTGTGTTTCCCCCCCGGGACGATTTCACCGGCACACCGTGCTGGTTTGCTTGTTGTCAGTTGCCATGAGAAGCAGTTAAAAGGAAAAGGAAAAGGCATTTGAGTGTGGTACTCCCCCAGGAGAGATCGATTCCTTTGGCAGTGGCTTGGGTTTGCTGGGATCTTTGGAGCGGCTGTGAGGATCTGACTGGAAAGGGGGTGCAACGGTGATTGAGGGAGTGCAAGCTGGAACGTGAAGTGAGTGAATTGTGGAGATTGAGTCAAGATTGGAGAATGCCATCATTTGAGGGAGAAAGATAAGTAATGAAACACCGGATCCGTGTGAATGCATGTCTTGCACTGAATTGGATAAGGAATTGTGAAGTGTATTGACCACAAATATAATTACCACTAAGAGTGTGAACTGATTCATCTTTGAAACCCTGATATCTTCTTCTGAGTGTGAAAGAGTGTGACGCTGTGTTCCATGCAATGCGAAATCCTCTGCATCTCATCAGCTTCTGAGTGTTGATTCAGCGCAACAGTGGAGGGATTGAACATTGGGTGAGTGCTGGCCTTATTGCACTAAGACTTGAGAGTGGATTGCGGTGCCTGAATTTAAGTGTCACACAGTATTGGACTTGACGTGAAGTTGCAGTGTGTGGATGTACATGTTTATTTAACCGCCAGTTATTCTCCAGTTCACATTCTCGCCAGTGTTTGCGGAACGAAGCCCTCAGGTTGGATGTGTATGTCCCGAACCACCTGCTCCAGCCGTAAGTCCATACTTCACCGAAATAGAATTGAACCTGCACACTTGTCTCTGTCCTGGATTATACAGGGTACCCTTGTCTCTGGCTGGAGCCGTCAAGGGCGGAAAGGCACTCGGGGGACCTCACACCTGCTGCTCAGTGACGCCACGGGGGAGAGCACCCTACACGGAGGAGACCTGCCTACCCGACTACCTACCTGACCGGCAGCGAGTCCTCCTCCTGGACTCCATCGCCCCCTGTGCCGATCACCTGCCGAATAGCTGACGCTTGGGAAAAACTTACCTGCTACCCACCTGTCCTGTGGAGAGAGTCCCCTCCTGGCCCGTGGTCCCGGCCCTGGTCTGCCCGGACCGTTGTCCGCCTGTATTACGCCGAAAAGAGCCTCCTTACCACGTTACTTACCTGCACGCCAGACGGGCGTTCGGCTCCCTCCTCTGTGGCTGCCAGTAACCCGGGCCCTCGCAGTGCACCCCTCGGTCTCCTCCTCCCTGGAAAGAGAGACGAAGCCCGCATTAAGACTTTTAATTCTTGCTTTTATTCAATAAAGATTGTTGCTTTTAGAAATTCTTCTTGTCTGTCTGGTCTCTGGTACGCTCCTCGAGGTGGTCCTGGGTTAGAGGGGTGGGCGCAGTCTGGCTTGGCCCCCCCGACCTGTGACACATTCTTTTGCTTTATGGTTTAAAAATGATAATGAGAAATGCTTTGACACTTTGTGCAGTTGTATCAAATATTAAAATATATTTCCATAGCTTAGTGTTGCAGTGCATCACAGATTTTGTTGATATATTATGTCCACAAACCAACCAAGACATCTGCACTTACAAGTTCAGAAAGATGGAACGACTGTTGTTTAATCACTAGTTTCATGTAACAACATGTGGAAGGTTCTCATAGAGTACATTTATAATGACTCAACAGGTTTCTTTGTGTCACATGAATTTATACAAGTGATCCACCCATATTTAATACACCCTATAAATATTAAGACAGTCAGGTAATCTAAAACCGAAGCAGCAGGAGCAAGAGAAAAGAAGCTTCAAATCAAAAGGTAAACTGTCGTCCTGACATTTAAAACATTAAAGTAATAAATAGCGAAAATAGAACAAATAATTTGATTGTTTGTTTTATTCATCACAGGTTTTACATGTGCTTAATATGTTTCCACAGCTATGTTTCCATTGCTTCTGTTATCAGGTAAGACAAAGATTTCCATGAAATATTTTATCATCAAAATCGTAAATTGACATTTTTATATAAGAGTTTGATTTAGCATTTGTCTGGTAACTGATAATGCAGTCATGTTTTTATTATTATTTACCATTTTGAGAATACAGTTAGAGTACACTGTCAGAGAATACATTCAGAATGCAGAATAGAGTACACTGACCCATTTGGTCCTTGTTTTCTCATTTGAAAAATAAACTTGTCTTTAACAGGTTTTATCACCTTCACCTTGAGTGTCCCTCAGTATGTCTTTGTGAATGAATCCAAGACTTGGGCAGAAGCTCAGAGATACTGTAGAGATAAATACACTGATCTGGCCTCCATTGAGAATGAACAACAGACGGTCCAGTTATTGGATACAGTGAATGACGATTCCATTGATTTGGCCTGGATTGGACTCTATGATGATCTGAACAATTGGAACTGGACTCTAGAGGACAGCAATTTCTTCAAGGAGGGAGAGAAAGACTTCAGGAACTGGTATGACCAAGGACCAAACAATTATGGAGGACAAAGTGTGTGTGTGTATATGCACATGGGGATATGGTATACATCATACTGCTCCAATACAGTTCCTTTTATCTGCTATGATGGTGAGCAGTTTCATTAATATATGTAGGACAATGAAACATTTTTTATTATGTTTCATCATTCTGAAATAATCAGCTCTCACTAATGCTCATTGACGTACTTAAATGTTTCAGGAAAACAGAATGCCAGTGCTAGTTATGTTTGGGTTTACATGTCCAAAACCTGGACTGAGGCTCAGAGTTACTGCAGAGAAAATCACACAGACCTCGTCAGTATCAGGAATGAGACTGAAAACCAGAAGATCCAGTTTTTATTCCAGAATTATTATTACTCCTTTTGGATTGGACTGTACAGAACCAGATCTTGGTCAGATCAGAGCAACTCTTCATTCAGTAACTGGACGACAGGGCAGCCAGATACTCCAGGATCCTGCACTGTAGTCTCATTTAATGACTCTAGGAAATGGACAGACGAAAACTGCAATTATGTATTTCCTTTCTTTTGCCACAGTGGTGAGTAGAAATCTGTCTTAATGGTCAGGCTGTCAAAAAAAAATGTAATGCTATAAGTCTGACACTTTCTCCACAGTGTCATCTTTGACATCATCACACCAGTATCACTTTGTGAATGAGTCTAAGACCTGGACTGAAGCTCAGAGACACTGCAGAGAGAATTACACTGATCTGGCCACCATTGATAACATGGAGGAAATGAACAGTCTGATAAACACAGTTAATGGGAGTTACAATGGCTCAGCCTGGATTGGACAGTATGATGATGTGAACAGCTGGAGATGGTCATTAGAAAACAATGATTTCTATCAGGAAGGAGAGAGAGATTTCAGGAACATGAACCAGACAACAGTGGTGGGAATGAACTGTGTGTTTACATGGAAAATAATGGAAAACATCATACATCATGTGACAACACACTGCAATTCGTTTGCTTTGATGGTAAGGACATTACTTTTTTTTTCTGTGAGTATTTATGTGCATCTATGAAATGTGTCGTATATTTCAAATCACAGGTAGAGTGAATGCCACACAGAGTTACATCAGAATCACTGATGGGAGAAACTGGTCAGAGGCTCGTAGATACTGCAGAGATCATTACACAGATCTCGCCAATGTGAGAAATCAGACTGAGAACCAGAGGATCTTTGAGACAGCAGGTGGATATGGAGTCTGGATCGGCCTGTACAGAAACAGGGTTTGGTCAAACGGTCAGATTACCAAATATGAAGACTGGAGACCAGAAATTCCATATTCTTCACAGCAACCAGATAATGGTCAATATGGTTATGGCCAATGGTTTTCTCAGTTATGTACTGCAGTATCATTCAGCCATTTAGGTCGATGGACTGATGAGAACTGCTTATCCAGCATGCCATTCATCTGCTTCAACAGTGAGTTTATTTTTTCTTTTTTTTACTTTTTTTTTACGCACACCAACATTTTTAGACATTACAAAAAGAATTATTAGAAGTCAATGTATATATTTACTCATAAATAATATACATAAAAAAAATAATTATATTTTATATAGATTTTGAAACAACTTACCACATGATTATTTTAATTTGCACCATGCAAAAGCTGTTTTTTCCAGTTAATATAAAATATACATATATATTTTTGGGGGTTCAAGCACGTAGCGCTGAAACCCCATTGTAATTGTTAATTTTCTCATGATGCAGCATTCTCCATCTAAAATTGATCGGGCAGACCGAACCGTAAGTCGTAAATTTAGAAGTCGGATTTGCTTGTCACCCTGGGAAAATTTCGGGTATTTGGGGTTTTTCCAAAAACCTATACTTTTGCGAACTACTCCTAGGTTTTTGGCCTGATCGTAACCAAACCACTGCAGACATATTCTCTGAGAGTGACTATCAATAGTCATAAAATTTTTTTTAATGAAATTTTAATTCATGGCCGCTAAGGGGAACCAAAATATTCGATGTGACCGGGGCCACGTTTACTAAAACGGCTTTAACTTGTGAACAGAAAGAGATATTTTCGCTAAACTTGGGACACATGTTTATGAGCTCAATCTGAGGTCACATGAAAAAAATCACGACGATTGGCCAAAATTATGAAAATGGCTATAACCGCACGCTACCGTTAGTCCGATGAAAATTGGCATGCAGTGTCTTTGTCCAGGGTACCATGATAGTCTATGAGAACATTGGCGTATCTCAAAAAATTCAGTATGCATCATCAGCACAATGCCCTGAAGGAGCCTGAGAAGTTTCATGCCAGCATTTTTCACAGAAGTGACCTCCTTAGACACCTGAATCCTTGTCGAGTCCAGCGATACCAAACATGCCAGGTTTCGCCTTCTGGTTTGTGTAACGGTGTCATTTAGCACTTAAAAAACTTGCGATTATCTTCGAAACCGTTCAGTCAGATCGAGACAAAAACACCACGGGAAATTTGGAAACATAATAGGTCAATAGCTAAACAATTACGTCAAAATTATGTCAAAACAAATGTCAAAATCATGATAGGAACTGACAAAACAAATCAATCAATGTCGTCCATGGATCGTTTTTATGCTCTCATAAATACAAGTGTCTAAACTTCAAAACGAAATTAGATATTTACAACAAATTTGACACACACACATACAGTATGTATGGGCACACTTTGAGGACACCTAATAAAGTGGTGGAGATCAGACATGGTTCTATTACAAACCTGCGCACACATATTCAAACAAATATAACTATAGAATCAATTTTTAATGCGCATGTGAACGCCATCAGGTCACAGGTTCGCGTTTAAAGTCTGTTTAGAGAGAACGCCGTCGTCTTAGTGGCCCCTAATGTAATAACAAATGCTAATTTTGCTGGAAGTGAATCAATCAAAACCAACTTTAGCTGGAAATAACATTATTCAAAATCGCTATAAAGCCAAAACAATCTCTGTTACCGTAAATTGTATGTTTATCTCTGTAAAGCTGCTTTGAAACAATCTCCATTGTTAAAAGCGCTATATAAATGAAGATGACTTGACTTGACTATAATTGTCAAAAAATCTTTAAAAAAAAACATATTTTTCCTTAGTAAATTGCCTGTATTGCTGTAAATGGTCTTCTCCATCTGTGATCTAAGTTTGTTTATTTGGATCCCCATTAGCCACTAACTAGGCAGTGGCTACTCTTCCTGGGGTCACAACAAGTAAACAAATACAAAACTACATTTAATCAACAACAATAAAAAGTCAAGTCAATGAAACATAATAACCCAACATTCATTCCAAAATATCAAAATCAACAATTTACTATAATTGTGCCATTAAATGTTCCTTTAAATATTTTAACTCATTCTTCTTGTTAAAAAAATATGTAATATCAATGGTAAATCATTCCATATTTTCATTCCTCTATACATTACAGTCCGTTGTTTTGCAGTGGTTTTCGAAACAGAAAATAAAAAACATCGCTTTTATGCATGTCTGGTGTTAAAATTATGACTAGTACTAATATACAAAAGTTGAGAGTACAGGACATTAGGAACTCTAGACACAGAAATATTTCTTATAAAACAAAGTAGAGAGACAATCCTTCACAAGTGCATTCTTATTATATTAGCCCTTCTATTTCAGTTTAAAGTGAGTCGTGTCGCTCTGTTCTGGACTAATTGTAATTTTTCAATTAGTTCATTTTTTTGTCTTTACTTGATGCACTCGACCACCACTGGGCAATAATCTAAGCAAGAACCATTGTTTGCACAATTTTAGAAATACAGTGTTGTGATAAAAAGTTTACACATCTCTTAAAAAGTGACAAACCTCTTCCCATACCTGTTACCATATTTACCATACCATATACCAATTGTATATCCTCATCCAAAGCAGTTGACAACTGCTTAACCCTCTGGGGACCAAGGTGTTTTTGGGGTCCTTGAGATGTTTTGACATGCCCTGACATTTGTGCTTTTTTCAGTTGCTTATAAACATATTAATGGCACAGGTGAAATTACACTCTATTTAGCATACGGGGCTACCATAATATGTGAGCAATATGTATGTACATGTTTGTATTTTTGAGAGAATATTGTTTATGCATGTTTATTGATAAAACTAAAAATTAAAGTTTCTGAAATAAGGCCACAACACACACTAAATATGTGTCCACAAGACTTTTGACTAATGGATGTTGTGGCCTAGAGTATTTGCTTCAAAATGATCTGAAAATCATCCTGCCTAACCATTCACATAAAACCATAGATTGCTTTAAATTGTGAAAAACATTTTTTTGTTTGAAAGGCAATATGCGAATGGGCGTGAACGGCCCAACCCCCTCATGTATAATTAGGGGATTCTCACCTGAGAAGACAAAGATGCATTCATTTCATTCAGGTGTGTAACAAGAAAGAATGCAAGGAAAATATATATACATATTTACACACACAGACATATATATATATCGGCAGTATCCAGCTCCGTGCTTACGGGAAGCTGGAGACACCCGCCCAAGGCTTCTGAGAAATTAAAGAGAAAAATACCCCTAGAGTCTGCGAGAGCGGGGGCGAAAGATGACTCAATGTTGGACAACATGGTTAACGACTTAGGAATGGAAACGGATATGAGTATGGAGAGTAAGACTAGTTCAAGATCTGCAGTTAGTAAAGTCATTGAACTCCAAGTTTGTGTCTGTGGCTGGAGCAAGGCGACAACGGTCAGGGGTTTGAAGTTTCATCAAGGGAAAATGAAATGCTTGAGGGAGAAGGGACAAGGGCCTCGCATTGATCAGTACTTCTTACGAAGTCAGTCAAGTCAGTCGAATATATTCCAGCGACAGGAAGCAAACCACAGCTCGCAGGATATCAGCACCCCTGTCATAGAGGAGAGGAGGGCTTGCACAGTTAGTGATGAACACATTTATACTTGTGAACCCGGTCAGACTAACCAGCATAAGAGAGAAAAGAACCTCAACGGGCATAGGCCTGGAGTTAGTTGGCGGGCATAGGCCTGGAGTTAGATGGCCAAGAGCTTGTGAGAAAACTGCATGGGACACGGTAAACACAGATCTATGCTTTGCACTGGAAAGATTAACTGGTACAGTTGAAAAGAAGCT